ACAGACATATTATCCCATTTGATCCTAACAAGCCAGTGAGGTCGATAATAGAGGTCATTATCTATTCTACAGAGGTTAGGTAACTTGTTTTTAAATTTGTTCTCCTATAAATCAATCCACATCTGGACTAATTAAAGAATTTAAAGGTTCTTTACCATTTTATCTCTGGCAAAAAAAAATTAACATTAAGAGTTATAATTTCTGAACAAGTATTGAGAACAGCATCTTAGAAAGTCCAAAGAGCACTGGATTTGGAGACAGAGGCCCTTGCCATATGTTGGCTTTGTTATGTCACCTGTGTAACCTTGGGCAAATCATTGGATTTTGTTGAACCCCAATTTTCTGATCTGTAAAATGAGGAGGTGGCCTAGATAACCTCTAAGATGCTTTTTTGCTCTAAATTCTGAGATCCTGTGAAGTTACCCATGGTTGTCTAACCACTAAGTGCCAGAGGTAGGATCTGACCCCAGGTCTCCGCTGACTCAGTGTTAAGTACTCACTAGCTCTTCCAGAATTCAGATGTAGTCACATCTAGTGATTATAATGCTCATACATTTTAATTTACATCCTATAATGAATCTAAGATATACAAAACTGAGGGAAAAGATGCCATCTTTTTATCCTAAGTAGCGCCTTGACCATAGCAGCTCAATAAACATTTGTTGAATTTATTGGAATTAGTATCACTACTCACTTTTTTTTATCTTCACAAAGGAAAAACGTGGATATAGAAAGACCTGTCGTCATAACATGTATGCCATATTTGACAGAATATTTCAAACCTATTCTGTTCAACTCTATGTTAAGTATAACAAAACAAGGTTGAAAACTTGACAATGGCCAAATCAATTCTAAGACATTAAATTCTGATCTAAATAGTGCCTACTAATCCTATACACATCTGGGACCCCTTGGCAGTATGGGAATGAGACACTAAAATTAGCCTGTGCATCAGGGAGTCAGCTTGAAAAAAATGAAGAAGGAAAGGTCAGGGAGGCCAACTCAGTTTGTGATCCATAATGTGTGGATGAGTCATTGATGTGGGCAATAATTCCCCTCCCCATGCTATGTTCTGTCATCTATAAAAACGGGAAGTAGTTCTCACCAATCTTACAGAAGGAATGCTTTACAGATTCATCATTGCAAAGCTTCCTATAAAATAGCTTTGGACAAAGTAAATGCTTCACTAATAGAAATAACTAACCACCCCTGGAATTTTCGCCACTGTCTCCTGACGCCAACATCTCCTTGGCACTTATGCAATCTTCACCCTACCTCTAAGCAGTTTCCTCCAGGGGCAGGACACAAAAAGGAATGGCACCCCAGATGCCAGTGAAATGGGACGGTCATCTCTAAACCCACCTCGGGAACATAAGGAATAATCATCATCCAAAGCAAGAGAGTGGGGGGCAGCTAGGTGGCGCAGTAGATAGAGCACCGGCCCTGGAATCAGGACCTGAGTTCAAATGCGACCTCAGACACTAGACACTAGCTGTGTGACCCTGGGCAAGTCACTTAATCCCAATTGCCTTAAAATTTAAAAAAAAATTAAAAAGCAAGAGAATTACCAGTGGCACTCTCCCTCAACCAAGTATTTCCTTGTATAGTTTGGGTTGGGGGTTCGAGGTGGGAGGAGGAAAGAAAGAATCAATCAGAACTAAAGCAGCCCCAACTGAGTTCCAGGCACTGTGCTAACTAAAGGCTGGTGAGAAAAAGACCAAAATAAAGAAATCATTTCTGTTCTCATGAAGCTCATGTTCTCAATTTGACAAACACTGATTAAGTACCTACTAATGTAGATGCCTTATATATTCTAGGCATTCAGTAAATGTGATGTAGCCATTCTATGTTGTGGTACATTTTGATCACTTTTTCCTCAAGTTACATTACAACATACCAGAGACTGGCTCTAGTTTTCTAAGACTGAGTAGCATTTCTGGGCTGATGACTGTTATTTTATTACGAAATTAAAAACATCAAAGCTACTCCCTTCCCATGTGGCCTATCTTGCCCCACTAAAAATATATTTTTGTTAGCCAGGTCAGTCTTCAATAATCAACTAAGCTAGAAACCAAAATTTCCAATACCTAATTATCAGAATTCTTGATATCAAATATCATAGTCTAAAATGCTGAATATGGAGAATGCATGCCTTTTACTCTGACTCTGTCATTGGCATCTGATCCCCAGGCCTGTGATTCTATTGGTGACTGGTACCCAATGTGGATGTCTCTTCAAAAACGTTTAAAATCTCTACCTCCAAACCTTACTTCATTATCTCTAATCAGACAATATTCTGGGCTTCACACAAAAAGGCAAGACCACTGAAAAAGATTTGTTTGTACCACTTCACCTACATTTCTCATCCTGTGACCCATGGTCTATTCACCTGGCAAGGCAGGCGAGGGTAACAGGGCAGGCTGTAGCCAAAGTGCAGAGTAGAAATAACTAGTCCACCCTAGACCTTAATGAATGACCATACCTTATTTCTTGAAATAGTACTCTGTAAATGTCTTCCCATTTGCGAGGATATTCCTATGAAGTTTTAGCACTGAAAAGTCAAGGATACTTCATAGGAAACAATACAATCTCTCACATTAAAAACCAAAGGGGCTATCTTTGAACACCCCCTTTTTATAAAGCCATGACTTTCTCACATTCTTTGAAGTATGGTCTTTAGAGGAGAATTTAAGCTCCTTGAATGCAGGTCCTGTCATACCTTTGTCTTTCTATTCCAGTCTGATGCTCAGGTGCTTAGCATGGTTGATTATAAATGAGGAAACAGAGGCCTAGAGTTGAGGGACCTGCTTGAGCTCCTAATCAGAGAAAGAAATTGGACTAAGAACCTGGGCTTTTTGGTTCCCTGTCCAGTGCTCTTTCATTACACCAAGGTCATTAGAATGTTCAAATAAAAATAATTCTTCCATTCCTTTTTCTCTCCCTCTGAAAAGAGCTCCATCAGTTCCCTCATTCTGCCTCTCCCTTCTCCTCAGTCTGAGAGCAAACTCTGAACGTTTTCAGGACTCTCCCCTGCTCAGTCTGATTTCCTGTGAGATCTCTCCACTACAGCCTAACACAGGAAGGCAACACCAGCCTCAGGTGATGACAAGGAAGCATCCAAGCAGAAGACTAAGAATCACATAATCTGAGAGACAAGAGAGGATTTGCAGTGGTCAACTAGTTCAAACCATATCTGAAACATGAATTCCACCACTCTTCTCTCCCCATCAAAAAAAAATCTGCTTGAAGGTCTTAAGTGAAAAGGAACTTTTTTTTTTTTGCTTAAGTAACTGATTCTACTTTTAGTAGCTTTTACTGTAAGGAAGTTTTCTATTATATCTGGTTGAAATAAAGCCCTCCATAACTTGAGTCAAGTATAATGCTGCCCTTTTCAAACATTAAAGCATCATCTATAAATATCAAGTTATTACTACTCCTCTCTATTCTACCTTGTAGCCCTTCAGATACTTGGGGAGTTATGAAATCTCGAGAACCTGGACTACCCTAGTCCAAGGCAGTGGAAAGACCTATAGATCTGGAGAGGAGAGGAGAGGAGAAAGGTTTAAAGTCCACGTTTATGTAACTCTGGTCTGAGTTCTTAACATTTCAAGGCCTGTTAAAGGTTAGACAAGACAGCCGCTAAGGTCCCTTCCAGCCCTGAATGTATAAGCTAAACATCAGATTCTACCGCTTGTTTTTGGTTCCCTCACAGTTCTGGTCACGCTCCCCTGATGTGGTGGTGGCATCCTCTGCCTCGCCCAACCTTCTTAAAATGTAACATCCCAAACTGAAGACAATATTCCAGTGAGGCTATCCATCTCCCTCCTTCTAGATTCCCACTAAGAAGGCTTAAGATTGCAATTCCATTTTTGCCACAAATAGATCTTCTCCCCTCAAAAGGTTAAGTCTTATCCCGGCTGGAAACGACTCACCCATTGCTTAAGGTGCAGGAGGAAAGTTGATGAAGGATAAAAGAAAACAAGACTGTTGACATCCTGGGATTTAGAGCTAGAAGGGAAATCATTTGATCCAAACCACCTCAATTTACGGCAGAGGAAATCAAGGCCCCCAGTGACTTGTCCAGATCACAGGGTGTTGACAAGTAGAAGGACCTGACCCCAAATCCCCAGACTCCACGACCACTGTGCTTTCCACCACACCTGGCCGGCACCTGTTCTGAGAGAAAGATTTTAAAACTCTGAGCCTACTAAGAAGCCCGGGCCAAAAGCAGAGTTGGCCATTCTGTTCTTTTGCTCTCTGTGGGGAGGGGGAGCCCTCTGATTTCTGCTCAGGCCAAAGGAAGGGGACACACGGGGGACTTCTGGAACACAGAATGCATTCCCTGGGGGCCCACCCTGCCGGGGCTTCTCCTTCCATTAACAACCTGGGGAAAAGGGTGGAAAAATGACCTTCCCTTCCCCCACCCGGGCTCCCGAGCACGGGGCAGCGACGTGGCACCCCGGCCCCACGCGCCCTCACCCCCACCCACCTGGCCGAGCCTCCCCTCGGGGAAGCCTGGGCACCTGGGGGGGAAAGCAGGGAACGGGGAGGGGGTGTCCTGCTCCCGGGCGGGAGTACTAAGGCCCCTACAGGCAAGACCCACGGGATTCGGGGTTTGCACAGGTCCTCGTTTTACAGCGGGGGAAACCGAGGCTGAGAGGGGAAGGACGTGGAGGCAAGACCCACACTCAGACCTTGGGGGAGTCCCAGTCCGAGCCCAGTCCCTCGTTCTACAGGAGGAGAAACTGAGGCCTGAGGAGGGGAAGGGGCATTAAGGCAAGAGCAACCCCGGGACTCAGAGTTCGGGTACTCATTTTACAGCGGGGGAAACCGAGTCAAGAGGGCGGGCAGAGGCCTGGGAGGCCCGGCGCCCAGGTTTTCAGAGGGGGACACTGAGGCCCGCGGGCCAGGGGCGGGGAATGAGGGGGCTCAGCAGGACCTCTCCCCCCCCCAGCCCCGGGTCCGGCCCTCCCCCTCCCCCTCCCGGGGGCCGCACTCACCAGGTTGAGGGGCCCGTCCATCACTTCCATAGACGCCGGGGCGGGGGGCGGCGGCGGCGGCGGCGGCGCCTCGGCTCATGGAGGGCCGGAGGACGGCAGCGCTCGGACGGGCCCGGGAGCCGGGTCGGCGCCGCGGCCGCTTCCTCCTCCCCCTCGTCCGACGCCGCCGCCGCCAGAGCCCGCCCCCCGCGCGCGCGCGCGGCGTGCTGACGTCACGCGCACGGAGACGCCGCGGACGCCCGGCTCCGCGAGAGAGGGCGGGCGGAACCTAGCGCGATTCTCGTTCTGTCGCGTTCCGCGTCCTGGATCTCGCGAGAGCTTCGTGGCGGCCGGTCTGAGAGAGTGGCGACGGGTCCTGGCGACGTCTGCCCCGCTGCCCAGCCTCCCTCCTTGTCCCACAAACCGCCTCCTAATCCTGCCCTCCCCATTCACCCTCCTCCCACTGACCCCCATGACCCTCTCCCATGCCTGTCCTCGCCCCCCATCCCCATTGAGCACCTCCCAGCCGGTAACCCCCCCCACCTGCTCACCCCCTTCCTACGCCATTGACTCTCTCTCGGCCCCATCAGCTTCGTCTCCCTGCCCCGCCGACCCCCTTGCAACCTCTTTGACAACCTCCCAGTGGACCCCCCGATCCAATCATGGATCCCCTCCTTTGACCATACCTGAGCCCCACTGACGCCCCAGTTACCAGTTCCTCACCTCCACTGACCGCTCAAACCATCTCCCATCCCTTCGACCTTTTCCCCGCCCCCCCATCCCAGTGACCACCACACATCCCCAACAGCCTCTTGGCCCATTGACTAACCTCCATCCTCACTACCCACTGACCTTTTTTCCTACCCTTCTGACTCCCCGACCTCATTAACCTGCTAACCTTCCCAGGGATCCTTTCCCAACCCCCTGACTTCTCTCAGCGTCACGGGTCCCTGACATTCCTCTATCTCATACCCATTTGACTCCCTCCTACTTAAGACTGAGTCTTCACCCTCTTCTACTCACTCCCAATTCCATTGGCTGTTTCTCAGCCCCATTGGCTCTTCCAGTCATGAAGACTCCCATCCTACTACTCTGCCACCAAAACTCCTCAATACCATTAATCTCCTCCCTGCCCCATTCACCCCTCGGCCACAGTGACCATCACCTCATTCCCGCTGACACCCCAGTCCAAACCCCACTGACTACTAACTTGCCTCATTAACTCCCCACTGGTCATATCCTAACCCACTGAATCCTTTTTAACTCTGATGGTTATCTTCCCAGCCCTACTGACTCCTCTTCTAGCCTTAACAAGCACTTACTAATCACTTCCTATGAGCCAGGCACTGTTCAGAGATATAAAGAAAAGCAAAAACCCTGCCTTCTAATGGAGTTTACATTCTAATGGAGAATTATCTCCAATTTCCCCTTATTTGTGCTTCCTACATCATTTAAACCCTTTTCTTAGATTCATCCAATCCTACCATTCAACTAGCAACACTGAAAGAGGGCTAAATTAGAGATTACAGGACCTGCTTAAATCCCAGCTCTGCCCCAAGCTATGTGATTGGTCCGTCTCCTTCCTTGGATCTCAGTTTCCTCATGTACAGAATGAGAGGGTTTGAGGAGATGCTTTCCAAGTTTTCTTCCAGATTAAAATCCTATGATCCCATGATTTACTGGCCTTCATGATCCAAATAATTTCTATACCTCACACCCATCAATATCTTCCTCCTTTTCCAAGTCTTCAGAATTATAAAGGCTGGAGGTAGGGAGGGAGGAGGAGAAAAATTTAAAACTCAAAAGCTGATGGAATTGATTGTTGGTAAATCAAAATAAATTAATAAAAAAAAAAGAATTTTAAAGGCTGTACAATGACAAACTATCTGCAGCATGGATGCTTGGCACCAAAGGACGATGTGATGGATATGAGTCTTACCATGGCCACTCACTTGCTGTGTGATCATGGACAAATTATTTCACTTTTCTGGACCTCGGTTTCCATATCTATACAGGAGTAAGATGATCTCTAAATTCTTTTCCAGTTCTGACATTCTATGATTCTGTGATAACCAGCAGAAGGCCTGCTGACAGGCCTGAGATCATGGAATGAAGAAAGGATGCTAAGGGTGGAACATCGCTAGGAAGGGAAAGGGAGCTAATCACCTGAGCTACTAGTGCCCCTTTGGAAGGAGGGAAGACTTCACGCTTTTCCAGAAGAACACAGCTGTGGCTTGACTAGACAGCTCAGACTAATGACGTATACCCAGTTTAGCCACATAATTGGCACAACACCAAAGCTAATTATGCCTTTCCTTTCTGAAGTGGATATGTAGACCTTATCCTCCCACAGGTCCCTTCCTCTGTTCTATACAAGGCAAGAAACTCAGTCCTTCTGCAGCTGCAGCCTAGTAATTGATGAAAGGGGCAGACTGCCTTTAGCCTGAAGTAGGGAAGCAGACACTGAGAAAGGAGTAGATTGAAGATAAGTGAGAGAGTGGGGATACAAAGAAAGGCCAAGATAGCCCCTGCCCTCAAGGAACTCTTCGTCTAATGGGGAAGACAGCAGCAAACATCTATGTACAAACAACCCAGAGACAGGATAAACAGGAAATGGTAGCATCAACAAAGGGAAAGCATGAGAATTGAGGGATCCCATAAGGCTTTCTGTAAAAGGTGGGACATTAGCTGGGACTTGGAGGAAGCTGGGAGGCACAAATGAGGGAGAGCATTCCAGGCATTGGGGGAGGTGGAGGGAGGAGGATAGCCAGGGAAAATGCCCAGGGTTTGGAGAGAGTGTCTTGTCTGGGGAATTGCCAGGAGGCCAGGGTCAATGGATCCAAGAGTACATGGGGAAGAGAAAGGGGGAGAGGTGTGTGAGGGGGAAAAGGTGTTTAGGGTGGGGTGGAGGCTAGGAAGGTTTAGAACACAAAATTGAATGTTTCTTTTTGGAGGTTTATAGGGAACCACTGGAGTTTATTGAGTGGAGGATGGCATATGTGGACTTACACTTTAGGAAAATAATTTTGGTGGCAGAGTAGGGGGTAGACTAGAGTAGGGGAAAGACTTGTACCAGGCAGAGGAAGCATATTCAAGAGGTGTTATCTAGGTAAACTCTACAGGCCTTGACAATATATTGGATTGTTGGAGATATAGGCGAATCGAGAGACAGAAAGAGAGAGAGAAAACGCTTACTATGGGACACCCACTGTTAGCAGGCATGACCTGGATAAAAATCCAGCAAAGGAGACTGAGGAGGGGTCAGATAGGTAGGAGGAGAACCAGGAGAGAATGGTGTCCTAGAAAGATGAGAGTTATCGAGGAGAAGTGGATGATTGGCAGTGTCAAAGCCTGGAGAGAAGTCAAGAAGGATGAGGATTGAGAAAAGGCCATTGGATTTGACAATAAAGAGATCATTGATAACTCGAGAGAGAGCAACTTCAGTTGAATGGTCAGAAGCCAGAGCGTAGAAGAAGAGAGTGAGAGAAGAGGAAATGGAAACACCTATTGGAGACAGCCTTCTCCAGGAATTTAGCCACAAAAAGCAGGAAAGATATAGGATGGTAGTTAGCAGGGAGGGAGACATCGAGTGAGGGTTTTTTGAGAATGAGGGAGACTGGCATATTTGTAGAGAAACAGTCAGCAGACAGGAAGAGATTGAAGATAAAAGAGAGTGGGGATTACAAAGAGCACTATCTGCTGATAAAATGAGATGACATCTGATCACCTGTGCATGTGGAGGGTTAGGTTTGGCAGGGAGAAGGGCCACCTCATCATGTGAGACAGGGATGAAGGAAGGGATAATGGAAAAAGGCACTCAGTGATATGAGGAAGAGGAGAGAAGAGGGAGCTCTTAGCAAATATCTTCAAGTTTTTTCAGTAAAATATGAGGCAGGATTCTCAGCTGAGAGGGGACGGGAGGGGAAGCCCTAGGCATTTTGAAAAGAGGTTTGAAAGAGCCTCTGTAGTGAATAGAATAGTGAGTTAATTAGGAAAGTGTGTAAGAAAGGATTGCCCAGCAAAATGGAGGGCCCAGTTGACATGTAACATAAATTTGTAGCGGACACATTCTCCACCTTTGTTCAGGATAGGAATGCTCCAAGACTGAGGGTTGGCAGAGGTCAGCTGGCATATGTAAGTGGGCAAGAGACTTAAGAAGAAGACAACGTAGAGTTGAATCGGTTCATCAAAGGGTCAAAATGGGGGAAAGAGGAGGATGGAGCTAGTACAGGGGTGATGGCCTAGGAGAGAGCTGAGGGGTAAAGGGATCAAAGTCACAGTGTGGACAAAGGATAGGTTTGTGGCTTGTAAGGCAGAAGAAGAAATGGAATGCAAATACACCGTGTCCTAATAAATGAATTTCAGAGTTCATGAACACGGAAATGGGAATTTGTGGATGCGGGCAACGTGAAGGATATGGCTGTGTTTGTGTGTGAATGAAATGGAATGAAGGAGGTCATCGGAAATGAGTAAGTTGAGGAACTGGTTGGTTAGGGTGTTTGAAGAAGGATCAGTCTGTATGTTGAAGTTCCCTTGTGTGACGACAGGAATTGGGGGGCCACATACTGAACTCATTGAGGCCAGAAGCAGAGTATCCCAGAGGTGTGTAGACAAGCTACTAGGATGCTGATTGAGTGATAGATATGGATTTCGTGAACATCAAATGAAGAGAAGTTACTGAGTGATGTTAGTAAGGAGGGAGCTGGGGAATAGCAAGGGGGGATCAAGGATTCCCATTTCCCTGCCTCCACCAATGAGCCACGAGAATGAGTGAAAGTTCAGCCAGTGTTTGAAAGGAGAGCCAAGGAGGCTGTATCATCAGGAGGGAACCAGATCTCTGAGACAGCCAGAAGACAGAAAGAATGGGAAAGGAAAAGATAAGATGAAAACAAGTTTGTTGCATATTGATTAGGCATTCCAGAGGGCACAGCGGAAGGGGTGGATAGCTTTGGGTGGGATGTGGGAGGTGGGCTAGTGCGTTGAAGAGAATTGAAATAAGGAATCAGGCAATGGGGAATGGGATTTGAAAGATGATTGCTTGGAGGGGCAGCTAGGTGGCGCAGTGGATACAGCACTGGCCCTGAAGTCAGGAGGA